GATTTTTAGCTCGTTTATTTAACCAGTTTACAACCCTACTTGTAATCTCGTGTTTACATTTCAATTCATGTTTGTTCTCATTCACGAATGATATATATATCCATGATTCCATGATTTTCATCCAACGGAATGAACGAAAAATGGAACATAATTTTCAAACATTTTTTTTTTTTTTTTTTTTTTCAGATTGAGACATTAGTGGTTTAACAATAATGAATTAATGGAACACGAGCGAGTTTGTTGAAACTAATCAACCAAATTGGAAAGGATTGTGAAAAGGAAGGCTCTTGAAAATAATATATACCATAACAATGGGAAGTTATGTTTCTCATATTTTTTTCTCCTTGTCATCTCTTTTTTTTTTTTCTCTTATTTCTCTTTTAAGATTTTCTCTCTCTTCTCTTCTCCCTTTTCTTCTTCTTTAGTTTTCACGTTTTCCTTCTCTTCTTCATTTTCTTCTTCTTTTTCTTTTCTTCTTCCTAAAGAATAGCAACACCAAAATAAAAATAAAAAATTCATTAGCTGATTATACATATGCATACCAATTGAACTTAAAATCATAAAAACATACAAGATACTAACAATAAAGAACATTATAACATGGTAAAATAAACATAAAAACAACATAAAAACATAACAGTAACAATAAAAAAATATCATGTCACCTATAAATTAACATAAAAGCAACACAGAACTCATGTTTTTATTAGGGTCGAGTATTTATTAACACTCTCAATTCCTATTTATTAATAATTACCAACTTCAATATCAAAATTTCACTTTCTTCATAACCAAAATTATTTCCAAACATTCCAGATCTCCTTATATTTTCTAAAAAAGCATAGAAATAAAATAAAATAATGAATAGTATTATGTCACAGCACCAATTTCTTACGAATGATAGTATAGAAGAGCCCCCGTCATTGAAGAACATCAAACCACCACTGAAGGTGCGGTTCAAACGCTTGCCCTTATCAGGCTCTCCGATTCGTCATGATTTGACTTGAAACCCGCAAGTTGAATGGGTTTGCTCCAACTAGAAACAACCCCTTTTTGTCCCGAGGTCCGTCCCGCAAACTCAATTTGCTATCAATTTCCGGTCGCCGCACGAACCGCCGTCGATGGGTCACACAGATCCGAAGCAACCCGTCACATTTTAATGGTGAACCTTGGCTCCGATCTACTAACAGCCGCCGGAGCCCGCCACTCTCTGCCGCTCACCAGCCGATACCAAGCGTCAGGCCCTTGCTGAACTTCGCGATTGGTCGTGCAACAGCAAGCCTCCCCCTTCAGTCGTTTGTTGTCACAAAAACAAATTAAGAATGAACTTCGGTTATAGGAATATAGGGATTGGGGATTGGGTCACGAAACAAAGGATTTTTCTGTTAATTTTGCGATAATTTTCTTTAAACATGAGAAATCTCGAGAGAGGAAAAGGACAAACGAAAAGAAAATAAAGAGAAAAGATATATATAATTAAAAGATAAAAGAAAAAGAGAAAAAATAGTAAAAAAATGGAAGAAAAATGGAGAAGGAGATGAGAACGGTTAATAAATCAGTTGATATTTTTTTGCCATGTGTAAAAAGGCGTAAATAAGAAAACCAAATTTCTAGTTTTGGCTAAATAATATACAGGCTCATTGATGTAAATAGTTTTTTAGAACAGATAGGGGATGTCATTAATTCTATACTCAACACCATTTTTTATTTTTATTATTTATATTTGTAATTCTTTTGGCCTTAATTATTTCCCTAGCAGTATGAAAATTTGGCACTTTTTTTCTTTAAAAAATGATTAAACAAAAACAATAAACAAAACAACTCAAAAGGTACGAGAGACTAACTAATAAAAAAAAAACACTACAACATAAACCAAAATTCACAAAAATAATTAAAAAAAAAATCAGTAATAACATCTTTCGAACTGTTCGCTACTGATTATGCAACCATAAACCATAAATCTGAAGGCATCAATTTGAGATAGAAAGTATTGAAATCGAGGCGCCAAGAATTGAAAACCCTGAAAACTCTCAATCAAGTAAGCATATTGATATAGTATGGACAACTCTGTTCTAGACCGAAACTCTCCTAACTCGACTTAAACTGGGTTTGTTAAATTGATTGTGTTGTGCCATATCATAAGCGTTAGGTCGAGTTACCGACTAGCCACCTAGCAATCTACATGCCTTTAGATATGGTTAGTCAAGCTAGTATAGTGGAGAAGTTAAACTATTCCACGAGGAGACTTTTGGGCGACCTAAAGTGAATGAGATCTTATTCGGCAACAAGATAGTCTTGGCAATAAGATGTCTATTCGCCAACAAGATAGTTTTGGACAATAAGATGAGACATCATTTGGCAACATGGTATTTTTGGGCAACAAGTAACTCTTTTAATATACAAGGATGGATGTATGACCATAAAAAAACTATGATTCCTTTTATTATTGATATTAATTACACTCATGCTTCATCTTTCTATATAGAGAAAAAACTGATTTGGATCAACATAGAGTTTTCGTGTGGAGCTCTTCCCATTTTTTCAGTTACTTCGGTGAGCAAGTATGACCGATTCGGAGATCTAAAGAAGACCATGACCTTAAACCAAAGTTATATCATGAATCTCTATCAAATTGGCACTGTTTGTAAGTTAAAAGCCATGATGTGAAAAATTTATACTTACATAAAGAAAGAGAGTTGTATTTGACAATCTTGTGTGCAATAATTTACTTGATAAATTCGTTAGGAGTTCACTCAAAATGATTTTGCACTGTCTAATACCGAATGTGTACAACCTATTATCTCTTTGTCGGTTTTACTACACGAGATAAAACTCAAACAAGAACGTCAATGGCAAAATATCTCTTGAGATAGACCGAGTTTGTTTAAAATTTGATTTTTCTTCTAAAATTAATGGACAAGGCCCACAAAATTGAATGTATGTTTACAAAAGTTATTTTTTTCGTGGCCAATTTATTAATTGACCGGATGCAACGTTTCAACTAAATGGTCATGATAAGTTAATTGTGTTGGTATTAAAGCTTTTGCTCATTTTCTTAATAACATTTATTTTTGGTTTTTTTTTTTTTTTTTTTTTTTTTTTTTTTTTTTTTTTTTATACCAAGGTTCTAGGCTTGCGCCTGACTATTCTTCGAGAAAACAACCCCCGGCCCCACAGAAACTGCTTCCAGTTAAATTGCGGTAGCCAATGTAACATGGTTATCTACAGCTCTCCATATTTGAAAAGGGATCAATTTGGTTAAAACATAATGATTTCTTTTATTATCATATTTCTTATGCTAAATATCGAAAGTTAGAACTTAATTGTTCGAAAATTTGTAAATATTTATACATAGTTTTATATACTTTCCAAATATTATTTCTATTTATTTAATTCCCAATAAAATTAATTGATTACACAATTAATTTCACGAAGTATCGAGTAAATGCAAAGAAACTTGGTTAAATAAATTTATGAGTATATAAAAAATCTCCTAAATAATTAAATATATAGTATATTCAATATAAATCTTTTGGTGGAAAAAAAAATGTAATTTTTGTTAAAAAATCAAAATATCCGTAGGGAAATTAATTTTCACCCACCCTTATTAAAACTATAAACTGCCCCCCCACGACGTCGTATTCTCTCCATAGATATTATTTCAAAAATTTCAAAAATCGCAGGCCTACTCACCCACTTTACCAAAATCAGCTGAACGAATCACTTACACGTACACAGTGTGCGCATAATTTTAATCTCTTCATACTCAGAGCTTTAATGGAGTGATTAGATCGAGTGAAAGAGGGGTCCCCTTTTGGTTATCATGCTGTTTGGGAACTAACTTCACTAGGTATGGGCCTTTGATGAAGCTTTTTACTTTCATCTCAATCAATCTTTTCACTTGAAAATGTCGACTTCAAATTTTTGCCCGCAGACCTTTATTTGCTTGGTTTTTGCTCATATGGGTGTCCCATTTGGTTATAATTTGTGGGTTGTTGAATAAATCTGTAGCTTGGGGCTCAGAGCTTGAAAAGATTGTATTTTTTTTGGGGTAAGATATAGAAAATGTTAGATCTGAGCCACATTGTACCGTAATTCGTTCAGTTTTTGAGGTTATTGGGCTCTGAATTTGTATGCGTAGTTGTCGGTAGCTGCTGTTTTCTGTGGCTTTTGTTGCAGATCTTGCTGAAGTTTTTTTTTCTTTTTTTTTGGTACAAGATGACACATCTTGCTGAATTTTTTGACAACGTTGTTTTCTGGGTTTTGGCTTCAAAAGGGTTTATGTCGTTCTCGGTTGTTTTGTTTAGCAAAGAACCGATAAATCTAGTTTCTAACCTCGGCACTTGTAAATCTGATGTTTATCTTCTGTTTTAAGGTTTTTTTTGTTGTTTTGAAAAGAAAAACAAAAAGAACTAATGGTGTGTAATCTATGTTGAATTGGAGAATGAATGAGCTGACTACCTTATGCTTTCTAATCGCGCATGAACTTGGCTGTAATGACCTTCATGTCGCTCATACCCCAAGGAATAGCTCTGTTCGGCCTTACCGACCCCGGAAGGCCTTCACTCCAGGAGATTCGTTCGGGCTTTCCGGCCAGGAAATCCCTCTCTCCAGGAAAGAATACACTACTTGGGGATTATTATGATTGTTTCCTTGTCAGTGCTTTTTAGTTGTTGGTGTGTGCTTTGTATTGATTCATGTATGTCCTCAATATTATATCTTGTAAATTGTGTGTTTTTGTTTACTTCTTTTTAGTACTTTAGTGGGCTGGCCTTAAGTCTTAACAATGCAATTTATCATTTTATTTTGCATGATCATATGAAATCAGGGCCGTGTTTATTTGACGAAACATATTCTACTTTTCTCGGATCTTCATTTTTTTTTTTCCATCTTGATTTCTACATTCATCAGTAATATCCATTAGCTTAAGCATACTCTTTCCTATAAAAGTGCAGGCATTGTTAAATTTCGCTAAATTCGTCTCTTGCACTTAAATTGCCATGGGGAAATCGCCTGGAAAATGGATCAAGACTGTACTCTTCGGGAAGAAGCATTCTAATAAGTCTAATTTTTCTAAGGTAACACAACTCTTTGTCAATACGCTTTTTGCATTGTTTACTTATGTGTCCCCCTATAATTAATTATTTGCATTAATAACCTCTCTTGCATGTTGTTAGCATAATCAATCCAAAGATTTTGGAAATTCTGCAGTAAATTGATTTCGATGCGACATAACTAATATGTCTTTTTACAATTAACACCGTGTGCAAAGAATGTTACGCCCGGCAAAACGACAGCTGTCAAGACACCATTGGAGGACCTACCCGATCCTTACCAGTCGTCTGATAGAGAAGTCGATAATACATTGGAACTCGAGAAAGAAACTTCTGCCACTGCTTTCGAAGCTATCTCTTCATCTCCAGCTAATCAAGATTTAGAGTCGAAAAATGAAAATGGATCGGCTATTGTCAGTGATACTGACAGGAATCAAGATTTAGCTGCAGCGAAAGTTCAGGCAACTTTCAGGGGCTATTTGGTAATATTCTCTGGCACTGCTTACTGATCATGTATCTGAGTGCTCTCGTTTACACGTTTTCCTTGAATTTTTTACATTCCGTTAAGGGAACTTTCAACTCTCTGTGCTGCAGGCTCGTCGTGCTTTTCGAGCTCTCAAGGGTATTATAAGGCTGCAAGCTCTTATTCGTGGGCATCTGGTTAGAAGGCAAGCAGTTGCCACTTTGCGTTGCATGAATGGAATTGTTCAGTTCCAGGCACTCGTTCATGGACGTAAGGTTAGAATCTAACATTTTTTTTTTTCTTAATTGTAGTTAGTTTTATACTCTCTCGGCTACTTATGCTAGCTTTTTAACTTTTAGTCGCTTTAGGATGTGTTTGGTAAGCATATAAGTTAGCTATAGCTTTTGGTTTGGTAGGACGAGTTTTTTAAAAAGCTCAAGCTTATCTCATAAGCTTCCAAGCCTTGGGTAGCTTTTCAAATGAGCTCGTTGAAATTTTTATTTCGGCAGCTTATTTTACCAAACATTTTTATCATATAAGCTAAGTTTTCAGCCATAAGTCGTAAGTTATCAGCTAATAAGTTTGAAATTCACATTTTAAAGCTATAAGCTAGCTTATTAGCTGGATTATTTACCAAACATAGCCTTAGTGTTTTTTAATTCTTCACAGTTGTGCTTGTTAATAATGTGTTATCGCTTATATTCATCGCTAGGATACTAAACAGGTCAGCATTGGTTCCAAATCCATTTTCGGGTCGGAAAAGCTCGCAGCGAACACATTTGTACGCAAGGTTAGACCTATTTCACATCCTTACTCCAAAATCATCATCATCATCACATAACTGCTTTTTACATATGACAAAAAAGAAAGATAAATAAGAAGACTCATTTTTTAAGCCTTATTTCTTGCCCAGCTTCTCGTCAAAGTGCCAGCTGCTTTGCCTCTGAGCCTTCAGTACGATTTATCCGAACCTAATTCATCTTGGAGCTGGCTCGAGCGCTGGTCCATGACCCGTTTTTGGGACCCACCCGCACGCGTGGCAAAAAAGATCACCAAACCGAAGCCCCAGAGAAAACAGCCCGGCCCGCAAATTTTCGAGCACGAAGCTGGAAAGTCTAAACGTACGTTCCGGAAGGTTCCAACTGCTGCATCGAACGGGGAAAATGGCAATTTAGTAGCAAAAAGGCCCCCACCTCCCGAGTCAGCTGAAGAGCAAGCACAAAGTGAGCTCGAGAGGGTTAAGCGTAATCTGAGAAAGGTATCCTCGGCTCAGGGGCCGCCCGAGAAATCCGAACCGGACACAGGAAAGCAGCAGCAGGAGGCTGTGGAAATAGCAAAATCCCCCCAACCTGAAGTGGAAATAGCAATTCCTCTTGAAAAAAACCTAGCTGATTCAGATGATTTGGTTGATAATGATAAAGCTGATTTTGCTGAAACCCTTGTGGAAAATGAACCAGTTATTACCGAGAATACTCAATCCGTTGAAAATGATGTGAACATCGAGAGTGCTCAAAATTTGGAAGATTATGAATCGAGATTTAAGGAAGAAGAAAAAAGCGAGAAAGACAATCAGAAAGTGAAGAAAAGGAGATCACTGCCAGCTAAGCAGGAGTTTGCTGAAAAAATCTCGGAAAAAAACTCGCCGAGCTTGCCGAGTTACATGGCGGCAACTAAATCTGCTAAAGCCAAGCTCAGAGGCCACGGGTCGACTAAATTTGGAGAGGATGGAGCTGAATTTGGTAATAATAATGCTCGTCGGCATTCTCTCCCAGCGTCTAGCAATGGGAAAGTTAACACATTTTCGCCTAAGGTACAAAAGCCCGTGCAAGCTAATGGGAAAGGAGGCACTTCCTCTAGAGATGGTAATGAAATTAAATTTGCAATTGCCTCTACAGAATTATTTATTTTTTCAGTACTTATACATTTTGGCTAATGTTTGGTGTAACCAAAATAAGCTTCGTTTGGTTGGACGAGCTTTCTTAAAAAGCTCGAGCTTATCTCATAAGTTTCTTTGGGTAGCATTTCAAATAAGCTTGTTGAATTTTTTATTTCAGCTAGTTTATCTGCTAATTTACCAAACACTTTTATCATATAAGCTAGCTTTTCAAATGCTATGAGTTATAAGCTCGAAAACACTTATAAGTTATAAGCTAACTTATCAACAATTTTTTACCAAAGATAGCCTTTGTTGCCCGTCTACTAAGGTGATGCGAAATTAGTCACGATTTCGACTTATTCACTCTGTGACCTCACTAATCAATTAACTTGGGTGTTTGGCCGATCATATAACAAGCTATTGAGAGGTTATAACGTATAAGCTCGTTGGTGTAGCCTTTTGATTTTCCCCTTGCCCGAAAAGCTTATAAGTTCCTTAAAGAGCTGGTTTTTTTTAAATGCCTTATCTTCTTTGTAAGCTTGTCATTACTAACATTTTGAAAGCTGCATCTTTACATAAGATCCAACTTGTATCTAGACACCAAGAAAACAACATAGTTGTTTTTTACTAGGATGATGAGCTTACCAAAATCAAATATTTTTTTCTCTGCCATCAAATTACTATCAAATTACTGCTCGAAACACTTGCAAACAAAATGCAAAACTCTACTAACTTGTGTGTGAATGCATCACATTTGCAGACAGGGTGGTTCAACCGGGGTGGAGGAGATGAGAGTTTTCCCGATCTGCTCGTGAGCTGGCCGAGTCGAGTTTGATTTGGTCCTTTGTTTCAACATGTTTTTTTTTAGGAAAAACGAATCGGATCATTTGTATCTTGGTGTGTGCTTTTCTTAGTGGTGATGGTGTTTCTACCTAGGAATGTTCATAGAAGTTGGAAGAGTTTGAGCCACTGCTAATTCAAGATTACCGTATGTTCTTTTCTTATGGTTTGATGTGATGTTTATGGACAATGTAAACTGATGGTATCTTGTTTCTTTTGTGTGCCTTGTCATAAGTTCATTGTCATAGTTTTCCAATTTGTCACTTAATTAGAAGTAGACACAAGGAGAGGAAATTAGCTTTCAGTGATACAACACAAAATACACTGATTTTGAAAAAAATGTATCATTTAGCAAAAATTATGGTTAGTTTTTCGAGTTAAACTCAGAAAAACTATTGTGCTTCCTTGCAAAAGTTTAGAGTTGATTGCCATTGGGTTGAGTAGTTTTGCTATGAAGCCAACAGTAATGGAAAATTATGTACTATTGAGCCATATAATACAAAATAGTAAAAGTAATGGAGAGATAACCTTTCCTTGTAAAAAGAGCAGAAATCCCTTTAGCCGAAAAAAACATAAATGTGAATGATCCATGGAAATTGTGTAGACAATTTTTATCTTACAAGTTACAACAAGAAGCAAATGATCTTAGAGAGATTGTATACAGTGGTAAAGTATAGAATAAATTAAGTTACAACAAGAAGCAAGATCAATTTTCGCGTATTTATTACGAGAGAAAAATTATTCGAAACAACAAAAAAACAGTTTTGAGAAAATGGAAAAAGGAAATAATCCTCCCAAGGTTCAAGTCCTTTGTTTTCTCTTGTGTATATTCTCTGCCTCGGGCATTCGTGCTGCTTCGTATGATCATCTTCAACTAGTTTACGCATGGCCCAACACGTTTTGTTTGGACCGAAATGTGGCGTGCAGAAGCCCGATGCCTCAGAAGTTTGTTCTGCATGGACTTTGGCCATCTGATAAATCTGGCCAACCTTTAGCTTACTGTCATAAAACTGCAAACATTTCTTTGGCAGTAAGTGTTTCTTCATTTCTTTATATATTAATTTCATCGACATCACGGGCAAAACGGAAATTTTGAAACGGGTTTTCGAAGATCAATGTAAATGAATTCGAGTAACTTCAAAAACTGATATTTAATTAGCTTATAAGTTTTCTGTACTCAAATAAACTTGGTTTGGTAAGATGGACTTTTTTAAAATGCTCGAGCTTATTTAATAAGCTTTATTGAATAGCTTTTTAAATAAGCCCACTGAAATTTATTTTACTAAACACTTTTATCATATAAACTAGTTTTTCAGCCATAAATCATAAACTATCAGTTATAAACTAAACTTCACTTAAAAGCTACAATCCAAACATAGCCCAACTTTTGAACGAAGGAGAAAAGCTAGTAAATGATCATTTAATGCTGCTTTTATCTGTATGCACTGATAGCTTAGCAAGTACGAAAAACAACTGTCGAGTTCGTGGCCGTCCCTCAGAAGGGACCTGACGAACATGAAATTCTGGCAATATCAATGGGAAAAACATGGGACTTGCGCACTATCGAGAATGAAAGTGCTCGGTTATCTGCAGCTAATTATTACCACACAGCGCAAGCTCGACCCATTAATGGCGCTTAGAGCTAACAACATTAAGCCCAATGGGTCATCATACCACATGAAATCTGTCGAGGATGCCATAAGACGAGAGATTAAGAGTCGGAATTTTTATGTCTCGTGCCAAGTTTTCAAAGGTGGCCCTTTTATTAAAGAAATCTATATATGTTTTGATGATATTGGGCAAAAAGTTGTATCTTGCTCCATTACAGAGCTCCGAAGAGGATGTGGTAAGGGCAAGAATCTTGTTTTTCCAGCTTCTGTATCAAAAAATGTGAAAGTGTAGTAAATACGTTCATCAAATTTGAAATGTTTTTTCTTTCCACGGCAAAGAAATAAAATAACATTAACTCAACAAAGGTACACAGTACAACCAAAATTCCCACACCTCAAAGATTTTTAGCCACGGGCGATTGCAGAGGTTGAGCCATGGGCGACTGAATGGCCTGAATATTATTAAACGACGATGATGATCCTCGTCTTTTGTGCATTGACGGGCTTCTGCTCGTCTGCAGCTTATTTCCATTTTTACCCGCGGGACTCAAACCCGACCGAGCAGCCGCGTTCATTGCTTGGAAATGCGAACTCGAGCAAGCCATGTCCTTCAGGTTGATCAGCGGCTCGATTGCCTCCACAACTTCACTCATTGCAGGCCTGATTTTCGCGTCCCGGGCAAGACACCTGGCCGCCAGCTGGACAGCCTGCTGGGCCCCACGGATCGAGAACCGGCCCTCGAGAAGCGGGTCGATCAGCCGGTAGAATCTTCGCCTCTCCGCCAAGTAGGGCCGGGCCCACTCCACGAGATTCTGTTCGCTAATGGGCCGGGTTTTGTCCATGGACCTTCGCCCGGTTAGTAGTTCGAGGAGCACCACGCCGAAACTGTACACGTCACTCTTAGCTGTCAGGTGACCTGGCATCATAATGTATGTATATGATGAGTTGGACCCAAAATTGGATTATTGAATAACAAATTTTAAGTGTATATGAAGGCTGCAAACGAACCGAGCCGAGTTGAACAAGATTGATTTTTTTTTTTTACCTGCTCGAGCTCGATTTATGATGCTCGAGATCGAATCGACAAAGAAGACAATCGGTCGAGCTCGGCTCAAATCGATTGAAATCAAAATGCTCGAAAGATTGCTCAAGTTCGGCTCAAACTCGACTCCAATTTCAAGTAAAATTACCGTTAAGTACATATATAAAATATTGTAATATTTATATATGAGGGATATGTTAGTAATTTACTAAAATTATCATTAATTTACTAAATTGGTTATGATCCAATTTCGTTGGTTAAATTGAGTTATTTTGAATAAAGTTGATTGAGTGGATATTTCGAGTTCGTAATTAAATAAATATTTAAAATGTAATAATTAAAATTGACTGGATATTCTTTTGCGATTTTAACTGTTTGCTTACACACCAGTCATTACATACTCAGGCGCAGCGTAGCCGTATGTTCCCATCACGCGAGTCGAGACGTGCGTTTTGTCACCTTCAGGGGCATCCTTAGCAAGGCCGAAATCGGAAAGCTTTGCATTATAATCCTAAAAAAGCAATAGTAATAATACATAAATGTAAACATTTTCAAAAGTAAATGAAGCTGTTTAAGACAAAATGTAGAGGATCTTTGTTGCATTCATACACACCGCATCAAGCAAAATATTCGACGTTTTGAAATCTCGATATATGACTGGTCTTTTAGCCTCCTCGTGAAGAAAAGCGAGACCTTTTGCCGCATTCAGTGCAATTTTCATTCGTATAGACCAAGGGAGAGGCAGTGATCCTATAAAATCTCGAAAATAATGAAATTGAACCATAAGCAAATCATGAAAACTCAAGCACAAGATGAAATGTTTAGGGTGTGATTGGATATAGATTCAATCAAAAACAAAAAGAAACTCAATCAAAACTCAAATTTAACTCAACCTCACCATCATCAATATTATCAATATAATTAAATAATATCAATCAATCATTCTTACACATCACATCCACTTTAATTCACTATTCATCACTCACATAATTTTAACTAATCCTCACTTCACATCATCTCAAAAAATCAACTTTAATTATTTTATTCTAAATATTATTTTAATTTAAACTTAAATTTTCACTAACAACTAACCATACCATACCATATGTAACTATGGTTCACAAAAGGCCAATCAAATTCCTATCCAGTCACAACCTTAATAATGTCAATGTGCTCAACGCAACGAACAGAATACAAAAATGTTTAAATAAATTGATACAGCAGAGAAGAATTGTAAGAAAGATTTTGAATTGTCAAGAATTTGCAAAAAACTAGTACGGTTCGATCACCAAAAATGAAGTTGGATACTGACATTTACTCCTACTTTCTTGAATATTTAGACAAGAATTTAAATACATACTCTTGAACAAGTGATTCTCCAAGCTTCCTCTAGATAAGAACTCATAAACTAGGAGTCTTTGGTCATCCTCTATGCAATAGCCGATCAATTTGACCAAATGCGGATGAATGAGCTCGCCAAGATAATTTATTTCTGCCTGCAATAATATTATATAAACTCATGAGTAATGCAAAGACAAATCTAAATGATTCAAGCATAACAACAAAACTACCATCGAGGTTTAGCCTAATTATCAAAAATAAAAAATAAAAATAAAAAAAAAAATTCAAAGAACATAGGATACTTGAATTTGAAATAGTAAAATTTTGTAAAAATGGGACAGATAATCAATCATCTCTTTCTTTAATTATGTATAAAGTGAAAGATCAAAGTAGTTCCATACTAGCCACTCTTTATGTCCTTGAAGTCCATCGTGATTGAGTGTTTTTACTGCAACTGTAAGTCCTGTGCCGGGTTTAACTGGCGTGCTACCATTTTCGTTAATCCAGCCTTTAAAAACACAGCCAAATCCGCCCTCTCCGAGTAGATTATCGGGCCTAAAATTCCTCGTAGAAATTTTCAGATCATTATAAGTGAATTTTCGAAGCAGTGAAGATATTTTTAATTCCTCTTCGATCTTAGGTGTCGAGGGGACACTTTCTCCGTTGCTGTTAGTTGAAGATGACAACATAACTGGAGCCACTGGTTGGTCACCACTTGTGTCGTTTGTGAATTTGCTTTCCGCTGATAAAAAGATAAAATAAATTTAATGATCACATTTCAAGAAACAATTCTTAAAAAAAAAAAAAAAAAAAATTACAAGTATATTAAATGCAAAATTTTCTAGGAATTAAATGCATTTATCTGTTCAATCTAACAAGTTAAAAGGATGTGTCATTATAAATAGGATTGTCTGATTCATGGCTTCTACAGATTGAGGAATATATATATCAAGCTACAAAAATTCTATGGAGCCATCGAATTGTTTGTTTATGGAGCCATCAATCATTAATGTATCGACACATGTCCAAAGTGTATTTATTGTAAGACACGTGTCAATACACTATTTGTGAATAATTGTGGATGGATCCATAAGCCGAGCCATCCAATAAATCCATGGCAAAACTGTATCAAGCTAATGTCTCTATTTATGCTAGACCATAAAAGTTTTTTCCAAGCTAACATGTCTTTAAAGTTTAGACAAGCTTTTTCTCAAGGGCAAAGTCAAGAAAATTGAAAAGGGTCCAAATGCTATAAGTATAACTTCTTTTATCTAATGAGTATATGAACTATTCCATTTGGTTCAAAAAAGGCAATTATCAAGGGCCATTTTCCAGTTACAACTTCATGGAGCTGTATATTGTTCTTCAAGTACAATATGTGTATTAAGGCGAAAACTGAGAACAAAAGGTTACGCATATTGCAGGAGATAACATGTTCAACAATTTAAAAGATTAAAGATATGTAAGCCATGGAAATTATGATATAAGCCATCGAAATCAGGATATCAGCAAGATACACCACAACATTCGATCAATACAGCAAAATAAGCTAAAATATAATCATTATTTTGATCAATACAGCAAAATAATCATAGGACTAGCTAAAAAGTCCCTTATGTTTCACCAATTAGCCCCAGTCGAAAAACCATATTCACATCTCATAGACATTCATCATACATTTTTTACTATCCTGCATAAAAATACAATATACAAATAGGAAAATGAAAATAAAAATACACTCAAATGTATGAACAAAGAAAAAGATAAGAGGCCAATCGTACCATACTCGGTGCTCGACCCACTAATAGAGCTATCGGCTTTCGTCTTCGTGGCCATACACCTCCCGAAAAGTCTGAACCTCCAGCATCCATTTTCCCCAGCCACATCATCATAATCTTCTTCATAAAGGATTTTTCTCCTAGCCTTCGATTTCGAATTGACCGCATTCATAGCCCCACTAAAAGCTTGAGCTCCCAACCCCATTCTCTTCTAAGTTCTAAACCCTAGCACTAAAACCCCATCAACATTTCATCTATTTTCCACATTTTCCCTTTAACCCAACTATTATTTTTCTTGAAATTCTCAGCTTTTTTTCCTCCATAAGTTGAGTCGGGTTTGATTCCTACTCCAAAAGATAACAAAAATTAATCGGATAAGACAGAAGGACACATAAAGAAATCAGATAAACTCAGAGAGAAGCTCAGCTTTTAACAAGAAATTTCACTAATAAATAAACAAGACCACAACTTTAAACAAATATTCAATTACAGAGAAACTGTTAAAGACTACGGCTATTAAAAAACTCAAGCCCGAATGAGAAAATTTCAGGAATGGTTTAAAAATTGCAGTCTTGGGATCAACCGTACAAATAATTCGCACCACCCGACACGAACTGAAACTAAAACAACGTAAATAAGACCAAAAAATTTAACCTTTTTTTTTTTCTCAGAATGTGCATTAGAAAATATCAGAAACAAACATCGGTTCTGTGTTTTACACAGACCCTTCACTTCAGATTTCACTCGCTATCTCTTATTATCACAGACATTCAAATTACCAATAAAAAAGAAAAAGGGCCTATTGTGAAAGGCTCAAAAACAACGTTTTTTTTCGAAAACAGAGACACTGGGACACGAGCTGTTCTCGAGGCAGAAGAAAGAACAAAAGCAAGTGTGAGTGTGAAAGTGTGTGTGTGTGTTTTTTTTTTTGGGGGAGAGAGAGAGAGAGAGAGAGAGAGAGAAACTGGCGTTTTTAGCGTGAAAAGGTGTGAGGATGTGTATTTTCTATTTAGTGCAAACTAGTAGAACGCTCGTATATTGTACGGTACTTGCTAATTTTTTCTTAAAATCTAAAAGTAATGAGAAAAAGTAGTTGAAAATTTAAATATATTTTAGAAAAATATATATATTATTATATATTTAGTATGACACTTTTTATTTGTGCAACTTACATGTGTTATATTATAATAATTTTTTAAACTTACAACATATAACTACATTACACATAAATATATCAATTGAGAAATAATTTTATTTTTCTAATGAATTTTAATAAATATTATTATTTTTTATTATTATAAGGATAAATATAATTTATCTATTTCATATATACAATATGAATGTCAAATCGCATATCATCATTAATTTGATACTACTATATTATATATGTAAAACCAATAAGAAATACAAAAGTTATCAATTTTTAAAATACATTTATTATTCAATAGCTAATTGAAGAAACAAATCAAAAGTCAGTGATATATTAGTCACTTAGTGCCCAGTATGTAAACTTATAAAGAAATAAGTGAAAGTATCTATTTTCACCCCGTTTTGAAGTCTTGATAAGTTTTTCACACCGCCCAATAAAAAGCTAAGTTTTTCACCCCAGAAAGTGCGAAAGTTATGCGAAAACTGTCTCATATTCATCGCATAACTGTCCATATGCGAAGGATATGCGAAAAACTGTCGCATAACTGTCGTATATCAATTGCATAATTGTGCAAAGGCATTGTGCGATAAATATGTGACAGTTATGCAATTGATATGCGACAGTTATGCAAAAAACTGTCGCATAACTGTCGCATATCAATTGCATAATTGTGCGAAGGCATTGTGCGATGAATATGCGACAGTTATGCAATTGATATGCGACAGTTATGCGACAGTTTTTCGCATAACCTTCGCATATGGACAGTTATGTGATGAATATGCGACAGTTTTCACATAACCTTCGTACTTTCTGGGGTGAAAAACTTAGCTTTTTATTGGGCGGTGTGAAAAACTTAATGTGTCTTTGTTATGGGTTGAAAAGATTTTTTCCCAAGAAATAAAGGGTTATATTAGTACAAGTGACATTAAAATACCTAAGTTAGCTAAATAATATTTATGGAATGTCTAAACTTAAATAATTATTAATATATCAATATTATTTGTCCAAATCTAATTATGAAACATGATTTTTTGCCAAGTAAGATTCCGAAGCACCAGAAGCAGTCACGTAGGCTCAGCGTATTCGAGAATAATATATAGGGAGGATTGCATTTAATACAAAAATTAGAAAATTTTAAATTTATTATTAAAATGGGAGATGCTACATTCTGGTTACGAAATCATTCCGACGATTACATGATGATCTAACGGTTATAAACACCGACGAACATATAAAAATAATCAAATCACATCGCGAGATATATAAAAAAAAATAAATTAAAATTGAACCAAAATATGTTTATGTCAAGATGATCAAATTAAATCGCACTGAAATGCTTTAATTCTTGGTACATTTTTATTTATTTTGTATTGTTCTTTGTAAAATCGCACCGAACGGAAAAAAATAAGAAAAAAAACTTATGATAAATAATAATTAATTCGTGTCAATAGTGCACAAAAAGGAGCAAACACCTAAACGGAAATTTTCTAATTTTTTTTTTTAAATCAAATTTATTGAGAAAATAATAATCAACATGCGCAAATAAAAAGAACCAGATTAAATTAAATTTATTTTTTACATTAAATTAAACAAGTTAAACCGCACAACAAATGCGGTAGTTTTTATGTTTGCCTTTATTTTTCTATACACTTGTATTTAATTGGGTGTTGTTCGGCACAAAGTCGCACCAAACCTAATTAAAAAGAAAAAAATTGTGATTAATAATAAGCGAGCCGCAAATGCATCATAGAGAAAACGAGCTGAAATTAAATAAAAACTTTTGCACATTAAAAATAAAAAAAAGTAAAATTATATTACACCGAACTGCACGATTCAATTGAATTTTTCGAGTTTGGTTTAGTAAGAATCTAATCATAATACATTGATGAATTGCACGATTCGATTTGATTTTTCGGTTTTTTGTTCGATTTATCAAAAGGGAATCTCAATGTGGGCCCCACCTATGTAGAATGACTGGTTCAATTGGCGGATGAGATTGTCAAAAAAGAAAAATATGTGTGGGATTTCCTACAATTTGAACTTGGCAAATTCCCTTTTTTTTTCTGGCAAAAAAAAAAAATATTTTGTCATGAAAACTTTATCTCTTATGTGTGTTTAAAATTTAAATTAAAAATCTTTGGGCTGGGATTTTGTATAATATTGAACATGTGTTTTTTGGTCTTTGGAATTGCTTTATTATCTCCTTATCGTGTCACCTTTCTCGGCTGGATTTTTGAAATTTTAAAGATTAAAAATTTTAAACACGCTTCTCGGACTAATTACACACACTTATAAAATATAATTTTGCTTTTCAAATTTGCATGATCCAATTTTTTTTTTTTTACTTTTTATAAATATATTATATACCTCTAACTATATTTAAGGTTGATTAGAGCTGTAAACGAGCCCAAGTGAACTCGGGCTCAGTCTCAAGCTCTTATCGAGTCAAACATGTGAACGAGCTAAGTTCAAGTCTTAACGAGTCGATTATACTAAAAGTATAAATTACATAAGAACTTTAATTTTTCAAGTAGTAACCAACCGAGTCGAGCTTGAATGTTAACGTACCGAATCGAGCTCACGAACAGCTCGTTTCATTTAACATATATGGTCATAATATCTAACATCTTATTTCTTTTATGTTCCAAATCCAAATTGCTATCTCATTTTTCTTTAAACAACTATACAAAGATTGCCTCGTACTGGATCTGGACCGGACAAGTTTCGAAGCCCATACTGAGTCGTGATTTAAACGGTCCACTCTACTAACATGAGAAAATTGGGCTTTTATAATCCCACATTGTATGGCCCTTATAAAAGGATATAACCCAATTGCTTGAGCTCATAGCTGTCCAGTGATCTGGGCACGGACCAATCTGTAGGAAATTCACACAACAAGAATATTGAAGGCAAAATTGCATTTTAAATCTTGCTAGTTTAACGCCATAGCATTTCTAGTCTCAAAATTCTAATTTTTTTTTTTCATTTTTGTCCTGTAATTTAGTATTTTGCTGCAATTTCAGTCTCCATTTTAAATCTTGCTAGTTTAACGTCATAGCATTTCTATTCTCAAGATTCTAACTTTTTTTATTTTTGATCATGTGATTTAGTATTTTGTAATTTAGTATTTTGTTGCTGCAAGGGACTGAAATTACAATAAAATTTAAAATTACAGGACTTAAATTGCTAGATTTTTTATTAGCAATTAAATCCTGTAATTTAGAATTTTGTTGCAATTTTAGTCCTCAAAGACTAAAATTGCTTGCGTTGAATTTTTATATCATAGGAGCAAATAACAAAATGTTCAGATCTTAGGACTTTAAAGGCCACTGAATCATACAAACAGTATTGCAATTCTGCCAATATTGAATCTGATGAAAAAATATTATACAGTAATATATATATATATATATATATATATATATATTTCTTTATACAGTAAAAATATTATATATATATATATATATATATTTTTCTTTACACAGACAACTACCATGTTTCATAAATTTTTGGCTCAAAAGTGAAATTTCAATACTTTGTATTTTCACAAGAAATAGCAGTTTTTATTTAAATATATTGCTAATTAATTAGGTCAAAGGGAATTACACATAAAAATATTGAAATTAAAAAAAAAAACAGCATATATATATAGTAAAAAATGTTTATAACTTCTTCTGTTGTTGGGCCAGAGATAAAAGGACACAATGATTATAGAAGAGATAAGACCCATTTTCCCAAAAAAAAAATAAAAATACTTCTTCTGATCCTGTTTTCTCTGTCCTTTCTCGTCTCATTGGCCTCTTCCCTTCTTGGAATTTGTGCTTCGATTCCTTTTTTATTTTAATTCAATTTGATTTTTGTCCAGTAGTATTATTTTTCCTGCAAATCCATCTACAATTATTTATTATTTTTCCTGCAAATCCATCTACAATTATCCCTTTTATTTTTAAATAATCAAATTAATTAATGAATAATATCTGCATGCAGTAGTACCCAATCCCCCCTTGCCAGGAGGAACCTTCTTATAGAGCATATTTTGCTGTTTTTCAAACAACAACAATAATAATAATAATAATAATAATAATAATAATAATAATAATAATAAAATGTAAACACTCTGTTGGAATATCACTTGTGAGTGTCCCACATTGATTCTACAAAGAAAATGAGTCTAGTATATAAGCCTAGTGAGCTACTCCTCCCATCACCAATTGGTTTTGGGATGGAACCTCACTAAAGTACATATATATAGACTCACCTTCTTATGGTGCGCCTTAATCTGGTGGGACCGCACTCTCTTCCCCCATTTCTAATACACTCTTATAGTGCACTTCACCTAATAGGGCAGAGCAGGCATTTCATGGTGCACTTCACCTAATAGGGCCGCACTCTCTTCCCCCAATTCTAATACACTCTTATAGTGCACTTCACCTAATAGGGCCGCACTCTCTTCCCCCAATTCTAATATGATATCAGAGCAATTCTAATATGATATCAGAGCAGACATTTCATGGTGCACTTCACCTAATAGGACCGCACTCTCTTCCCCCAATTCTAATATGATATCAGAGCAGGCATATAATTGGAATATGTGTTATGTGAGTGGATGAATAGTAGGTCATATATAATTGGAAATACATGATTGGAAATAATTGAAAATGATATGTATTTAAAATTATGTGAGTAGATAAATATGGAATTAAAGTTGTTGTAAAAATAATTGATAAGTCCTTAACGTTTAGACTACATACACACAAAGCTTTGTGTAAAAAAATAGTTTAGTACTCTGTTAAATAAAAGTGATTACACATAAAATTGAACAATTATCTTAACTCATGATTTGAATTAGCTAATACCATACGGATGATCGAATGTTAACAATTTTAGTTAACTAATTCGATTAGCTGATAATGAATTTCTCCATAAATAATATTGATATGTATGACCACTAATTTTACAATTCCCAGCTCAAAATTATGATATATATATTCAGAATCAACTTTGCTAGATATTAACAATTAAATTAGAGGTTGTTCAACATCTAATTTACCCTAGCTCAAAACTGGAATGGAAAAAGGTGAAAATGGTAGGAAAAGAGACGGGTTAATTGTATTTAAAATCCTAACATTTTGTTTAATTGTAAATAAAACTCAACTTTTTTAATTTGACAAAAAAATACCAAATATTTAATAACTATTGCAATTGAGTCTCAAAATCAGTTTCCAGCCAAGGCACGCCGGAAAACGAGCTCAGGGCGGTTGTGCACAGAGGGAAAGCCTAGTGAAGGAGGTCGTTGGAAGTCGAGCTCGCGGCTGGGGGAATCTCGCCGGAGAGAGAACGTCGTGGAGGTCGGCGTCGGGGAGAGAATGTCGTGGGGGTCGGCTGGAAATTTGCGAAGAAGATGACTGGAAAAGTCGTCGCCGGAAAAAGTCACCGGTTCCGGCGAAGGTTGACGTCACTAGATGCGGCTTTGCGAGAGGATTTCAACGGTACCTTCGGATTCACATGGGTCAAAGCGAGTCACTGGGAATTTGAGAAAGAACGCCGGAGAAAATTTGTAGATCTACGAGCTTTGAACGGAATATTATAGTCTTATTGTCGGAAGATTTTCGTGAAACTCGGATATGTTGTCGACACGAAAGAGAGCTACAAGATCATGTAAAAATTTTTAACATCCGGCGAAGTTGGCCGGATGCGGGTGGTGGTTAGCAGCGGTCCGGTGTGATTGACGGCCGGAAATTGATTTTGAGACACAATTGCAATGCTTATTCAAGGTTTGGTGTTGTTTTTTTGCCAAATTGAAAAGTTCAGTTACATATGCAATTGATCAAAAGGTTAAGATTTTAGATGCAATTAACAAAAGAGAATCTTCTCCTTTTTCAAAATTTTCCCCTTTTGTGTGTACATGCACATTAGTTATGGCCCATGCCAGTCTATATATGAGTCCCACTTACCCAGATTTTTCATATTTGCATGTAACATGGATCTCTCTCTTCATGATTAATTAATTATATCTTTTTTAATCAATCAATTAATTAACAACATTATTATTCTCCACAAGAAAAGGTTTCCAAGATACTGCCCCACAGCAATTTTTAAATTTAAATATATATATATAACAAAAAGATAAAAAAAAAAAAAAATAGTTTATGCCGCGTTTGGCGATCACGGGAAATTCTGGAGCTCGGGCCAGGGCCAGAATTCCGGGTTTTCATTGATGCCGCCAAACACGGCGTTACCGAAGCACTCGTTGGGAGCCAGAGCTTGATGATGTGGCATTGATGAGGTGTGGAGTAGCTGAGTAAGGCCTATGGACGAGGGGAAAACGGCATCGTTTTTGTTGCTTTGTTGATTATTATTATTGTGATGCTGACGTGGATACAATGTGCTATCTGTAGAGGTCGTGTTGAGGTTGACGTGGCAGCTGTTTTCTTCACTCCCGGGGCTCCAGTTGGACTCCTGATCGTGGTCTTTGTTCAGGTTGATCGGGCCGCCCGACCCGGTTGAGTCTCGGGCGGTTTTTAGGGACAATAACTGCAATCAATTAATCTTTGTGTTAATTAATCAAACAATAATAGTCGTGATTAGCAATCATAATTAATTAGTTTAATTGATGAATCTCATTTGACTTCTATTAATCAATCATGAGGTTATGATTCGTTGTACTACTGTGGCTAGCTAGCTATACATTAGCAAACATAACAAATGTTGAAAAAATTAAATTAAATTAAATTAAATGTATTGATCATATCATATAATATCAATCAAATCAAACTATATTAATAATTTTCATAAAAGCCAAAAAAAAAATAAAAAAATACCTGTGCTTGAAGCTTCTTGTTCTGGGATTTGAGTGCATCATTATCAGCCTTAATCGCCTCGAATTGTCTCTTCAAGACATCATAGTCCCTCTCGAGCTGCTTGGTTTTCCACCGGGCCCTCCGGTTTTGAAACCATATTGCGATTTGTCTGGGCTGAAGCCCGAGGGCCCGTGCCAGCTGCATTTTCCTCTCGGGCTCGAGCTTATTGCCCGACTCGAAACTCTTCTCCAAGGCCTTTACTTGCTCCAAGTTCAGCCTCCTCTTCTTCTCCCCCAACATGTGGGACCCATCGTCCGACACGTCATCATCCGGCTGGACCTCGGAAAACGACATCGACCTCCTCATCAAGAAATCCGGCACTACACCTAACGAAACCGGTACTCATAATAAACAACCGAACAAAAAAATAATAATAATAATAATATATGGCCACTAACTAACTAACTAACTTTAGAAAATGTTTGTGATTCAATTGTTAGAATATTCAGAAACTAATGAGAAAATGTAAAAAAATGTTTCGTGCAGAATGTTCGTGATCCGATTTGTTAGCGTGCAGTTATCGAGAAAGATAGATTATCAAATCGACTCGGATTTTCGTGCAGAATGTTCGTGATTTGATATGTTAGTGCACGTTTTTCTGCAGTGAACTGCGAAAGTTACCTAGCAAAATTATCAAATCATATCAAACAATTATCGTCATAAAATAAAAGGATACATATATGTACCGTGAAAATCTTGAGGCCATGCCGGTTGGGAGTCGACCGAGGCGGGGAGAAAAGCCATTCGGGCCGGGAATCGAGGCCCGAAAAAAGAGTTTGTCTGAGCTTTAAAAGCGTGTGGATTTACACAGATTGTGTGTGGGTTTCTGATGAGTTATGGGGTTTGAAAAATGAGAGTGTTTGGGTTTGAGAACATGGGTGGCAAGCAAAGACTGGAAAAAAGCCAGCGATTATCTGTGTAAGGACAGTGAAGATGAAGAGAGAGAGAACGTGAATTTAAAAGTGTTTATTTATTGCTCCCAAAGATTCTAAAAGCTATGACTATGAGGCAATGCCTTACCCAATTGATGCAATTTTTGATTATTTTTTTTTTTTTTATTTTCTTTTTTTTTTTGAAAGAAAAAACAAATTAGTTATTGTTATTATTGAGAAAAAAATGTTTACTAGCATATAAGATATGTAGTTTTTATGAAATAAATTGTGATAACATTATTTATTATTTATCATAATGAAAAGCAATATTGCTAGATGAATTTATACAATAAATTATATCAAAGCTAGAGTGTATTAATATAAGGGCTGATGTTAGGCATATATATATATATATATATTGCTGTTAAAAAGTCTCAGCTCGTTAAGTCTTGAAATAGAAAAAAATATAATAATTTTATGTTGCTCAATCGGTTTGGTAAAACTCGAGTTTGGCTGATTAATATTGATAAACGAGCCGAGTTTAAGCTCGTTTATCGGCTCGCCTAGTTAATGAATTGAGTCGAGTTTGGTTGGTTAATATTGATAAAAGAGCTGAGTTTAAACTCGTTTATCGACTCGCGCCTAGTTAACGAGTTCAGCCGAGTTTTGGCTCGAGTATCAGGAGCACGAGAATGACTCATTTACACCTCTACGCATATCTAATGGTAACACAACTAGTATCCATTCTTTATTTTTTAATTAAATATGCATAATTTAAAATTAATGCATTTTATATTATAAGAATGCATTTTTATTAAAAAAAAAAAACAAGAGTTAATGGGTGTTTATCAAATAACGAGGGATTTAATATTTTTCTTTTATTATTATTATTATTATTATTATTATTATTATTATTATTATTATTATTATTATTATTATTATTATTTAATGGTGAAATTTTGTGATGGATTCATTTTTTTTTTGTGTGTAGTGTTACATCTTTTTCGCCAAACATTTTTATGTTGATATGAGGAATTAATGATTGAGCCATTTTGTTTCGTTTGAAACAGACAGAAAAACTCGCATATGATTTTAAATATTTTGCTTTTTCTACCACCTTTCATTGCCTCATATCATCGAGCACTGATCCAATACTTTTGATTAATTTTATGAACTATTGCTTATATAAATTTAAAATGTTATATTAAAATTAGTTGCTTTCACTCAATTTTGAAAATATATTAATATACAAACACTATGTTTTTTTTTTTAAATGATTATTGTTTTGATCATTACAATAATTATAGAAGTACCAGATTTAAAAGTTAAAAAGAAAAATATAATTATAGTGCAATGTAAATAGATAAGGTGAACCATATAACTATATATTACCTATTTCTCGAGACCTAAACATTAAATTGATTATCTAATATTGTGTTTGTAGAAAAGTTAATTAAATTAAATAAAAAGTTAAATAAATTAAAAAAAAATTAATTATATCTCTGGCGACATCCCATATTTTAATTTGAATTTCTATTTACCGCCTCCCTTTTACTACTCACCGTCCCTTCCCACCAATTACGTTTTTGCCCTTCACTCTCTCTCTCTACTCTTCTCTTCTCGACTTTCTACGCCTCTTTTGACCGTAAAAAATATTTCAAAAAAATACCAAAAAAATACCATGACATCGGCAAAACATTGAAGATTGACCATGTATTTTTTTTATATTTTTTTACTTTATAAATAATTTTTTAATTTTTTTTTGCACGTCCGGCCGAACCAGCCAGACGCGCACGGTCGCGTCCGGCCCGTCCGGTTGGACGCGATTGGTTGCGTCCGGCCGGACGCGCAAAAAAAAAAAAAAAAAAAAAAATTATTTATAAAGTAAAAAATATAAAAAAAATATATGGTCAATTTTCAATGTCTTGCCGATGTCATGGTATTTTTTTGACATTTTTTCAAAAAAATTTTAATGGTCAAAAAAGTCGTAGAAAGTCGAGAGAAAAAGAATAGAGAGAGAGAGTAGAGAGTACTGAAGGGCAAAAACGTCCAAGGGGGACGATGACTAGTAATAAGGGGGCGGTAAATAGTAATGCCCTTTAATTTCCTCTTGAATATTAAGAGTGATATATATTAATTTTTTTTTTATTTATATGTGTGATAAGTTACAAATAAAATTAATTTCAATTACAAATTATAATCTTGACAATAGTTTCTTTGACACGGACCAGTCCGACGGGTAGACCTGGGACCGGAGACAAAACCGGTTCGGGTGGGCCGGGTCAAGAGCCAATCCGGCCCATACATATATATATATATA